AAAAGCATCAGCTCCAAACATATATGAGGTGACCTTCACAAGAATGTACATATATTTGGGAAAAACAGATACAAATGCACAATTTATAAAGGAATCCAAATTAAAAGTTTCTGTGCATGTGATGGGAAGACATTTATTAAAATTGGGAGAACACATCTACTCTGGCTGCAGCTGAACTAAATTAATACTTGGCTGCCCCCTCAAATCTGCTGGAATACATGCGCACTTGGTTACTCCCTCAATTAGCTCTGTAAAACCAGCGCACAACAGCTGTAGTAATAAACTTCTGCTACTCTGCAATGTCATTATCACCTAAGAAAAAAAGTTTCCTTTTAAGATTAAAAGAGGTGTTGATACACCTTACCAAATTTCTAGAAGTCACCTATGCCTTCACCCATACCTCAGAAACAAACTATTTCCTACAGCTGGTTGAAGCAATTGTTCAGACTACTGTCCCTCCAAACAGGTATATGGATGAAAATCATCTTTTGAGGTTTTTTCCCCCTCCCCATTTCTACATTGTGGAAAAAAGCAGAACATGCCAATGGCCAGTACCTAACGCAGCTGCAAGAAGAAGAAAGCAGTCACTGTAACATGCTTTACACAGATCTAATTTTTAAGCTGGAAAGCACATTTATATCCCCATCTAACTTGAAAAATGAAAAGCCCCCATGCCACTTCTTGTGTCCCAGCAAGAACAGCAAAGTCAGAAGCACAGTACTCCTCCTGCCCTTGAACAATCCTCAAACTACTGTTTAAAATTAAAGTATTTATAAATATTTATTAAGTGTCTTACAAACAAAAGAAAAATCTATAGCAAACCTGACTCTAATCACTGTGTTTACAAATTACTTACCAAACACTAGAAGCATTTATAAAATACACTTCAGGCAGAAGGAACTTTTCTGGAAAAGCATTTTATTTCAAGTCCCATATGAGCAATAGCTGATATGAAATAGTGCTTGTATTCTTCTCTGCTCATCTTCCTTCCCACCAATGAATTATTTTAGAATAGGTACTATTTTGAGACCAATACACCAATTTTTTCCAGATGCCATCATGACACAGGACGCAAATTGTACCTCCAAGTCATGTAGTCAGCACAGTTTACAGAAAAATTACCTTGCAGAATTTGGATCATGGCTACTGAAGTAGACCAGGAAATCCTGCTCTCACTTCTACCATTGAAATGCTCTGCAATGGATCTGGTGTAAGAAAACTTACAAGTTGGAGCAAACACAGGTGATTCAGAAAACCATGCCACAAAGGCCTAATTCAAAATTAAAGGTCAATGAGTGCAGGTTATGCTTATCATGAAGAATATTTGTAACTTCCATGCCAGTTATTTGTATGTCACTAGAAAATGTTTTACCACCCAGTAATGCTTTACAAGGAGTAGCACAAATGACAAGTGAAAAGTCAAGATCAGAGCTCCCGGTACTGAACGACCCTGTTGTAACTGTCATGCAGCAAGGGAGAAGAGTTGAGGCTGTTCCGGGAATGTTAACTCTTAATTTTTTTGTCTTCCTACCATTAAGATTTCAAGACCTCATGTAATTCACTACATCAGCCAACACATCTGTGCACCTCTAAGAGAACAGAAACTTCACACAACCCTCCAAGCAAAGGTACTTCCCTAACTCACAATCCTAAGAGCACCCAGAAATTTCTTAAGGACCTAAAGAAAAGAAAGGATTCCTGCAAGGAATCCTTTACCACCACTACCTACTTCTGTATTTCTTCTCTAGACATAAAGATGACTTCAGCCTCTAGGGCTGGAAAGACAGCATCTCTGATATGTACCTTTTTTAAGCCTGTAGTTTAGTAACATTTCTTATAGTATCCTACAGGTGGGAAGCTGCAAGATACAACCAACACATACTGAAACAAAAATCTGGTCTGGAAGGATTGTGTTGGACAAGATTGAAAGCTTTCATATCTCCCAATAAATGCTTCCCCCCAAAATAACCCAAACAACAAACAAGTGGGATTTTTTAAAAAAAGAAAAATATTACATTTTTTTCCCATGCTGCAAGGCTTTCAGATAAGGTGGTGAGGGGAGGTAAATTAGAGGATCTTACCCTGAGGCAAGCATCATGTACAGTTACCTTAGAAAAAAACAGGGAAAAATATTACACAAGTCAGCTGGCTCAGCAAGGATTAAGAAATACCTTGATAAACAGCTAATGATATGAAAGGCAAAGCTTTTGGCTCCAGCTCAGAAAAGTAATTACTCCCATCTGGGTACGCAAAACCCCAAGAAGGGCTACAGTTTCACATGGCACAGGAAAATTTTCACGGCCTTAGAGTCTTTTTTTCATAGCTACATTGGGTGGGTGTACACCAACTAATATTTAGGCCAATGGCTGAAGGTATACAAGACTATAAACAATGTTCTCACAGGGCACAGCTTACCTGTCCTTCCCATCCATGCATGAATCTGATAGAGAACAAACATTTTTAGGTGGTTGTGCTACCAGGAAATCCCACTGCTACTGATTGGCCTTTACAGAGCGTTTAATCTCTTTTTCTCACGCACACATATACATAGTCAACCACAGCAAAGCTTTACAAGGGGTTTCTTCAACAACCCCTGACATTTGGAAGAAGCCACCAAGCTTTCAAAAATACGGCAGCAAATCTTGCATTCAAAAACCACTGTAGAATAAGAAAAAGCATTTGCCCATTCTCACAAACGGAGTCAAGTCTCCTTTCATAGTGCAAGACTTGAGTCAAGAAAGGTTTGCTTTCACTGGTAAAACCTTATTCTGCTATTTTTCCTGCTGACTGCTTGCTTTATGTGGGTGGGGTAGTGTTTTTATTGTTCTGGACTGCATTTTAATTGATGGCAGAGTGCCTGGAGTTTGGGATTGGCATCTCTTCCACTGTTTTTGTTGCGATAAATAAATGTATTTCCCCCCTGTTTGTTAAAAAATGAAATACACGCCATACTCTCCATTGCTAAAAACAAAGCAGGCTGCTACAAAAAAAACCCAAAAAAACAAACCCACAAAACAAACAAAGAAAAGCTTTCAGATGGCACAAACAATCTACCAAGCTCCTGCTGCAAGGAATTCACCACCCAAAAGCCTCATCCCTGCTTACTACTCTCTGAAAAACCCTCAAAGACCAAGAAGTAGAGATATGACAGTGGAGACCAGCAGTACTGTTCAGTGGCTAAATATTTGTGTAATTCTGAGGAGGAGACTGAAGATCAGATTTTGGCCTCAACCTCAGGCATCAACAACTACAAGGATGGAAGCCCGCTAAACGTGTAAGATATGTTCTCAAGAGAAAATAAGACAGATTAAGAACAGCTTGAAAAGGAGTTATTAAAGAGTTTGGTTCAGTACTGAATGGAGAGTCACTGAAGCAAATGCAACAAGGGAGAGACGGAGGGGGGTGGTCTACCCAGGCAGACAGGGCTATGCAAAAAAAACCCCCTTCCCAAACAAAAAACCAAACCCACAAGTATAGACTTATATTAATGAAAAACTCCCAAATCTGAAGTTTTTGTTCACAAGCAATGCGAAAACAGCACCTGTATCAATACTCAAAACCAACACTAACCAGCCAGCATCTAAAGCATCTCCAGAGCACTTTAATGGAAATATGCTGTTACTGATGCTGCCAAAATATGACTTTTTTTTTATAGTATAGAAACATTTGTAATCTATGTTTTCTGACCTAGTAATTAGAAAATTGCCCTGCTACAATCTGACACAAAGAAAAAAAGGGTCCTAGTTTTTTCTCAGCTGTTGATTCAATGCCTACTACAATAGTAGTTGGCACTGCTACTGCTACCACTCTTCTGCTATTCCAGGGGAGGGGGGGAAGAAGAACCACACACACGCACACCCCCCCCACCCAAACAAGCAAGCTGGAATTATTTAAGGAGAAATAAAGTGTCAGCACCAAGCTAAATTGTTCTCGTTATCCGAAGAATTTAAAAAAACACTTTAATATTACACTTGCATGAAAATTGTATGAGCTCTTCATGCCAGGCAGTGTTTCAGCATGCTCCCCAAGTGCACACAAACAAAAAACATATGACAAACTGTTGTCTCCCAACTGATTAAAGTATTTCTTTCTGGCACAGAAAAGCACTTAGTTAACTACTGTGAGTCTCAGCCAACAGAAGTATTCCACCCACTACTAAGCACAAAGTTCAAACCTGAACACAAATATGCTTCAAAAACGTGCAGCTTCTGAAATACGAGAAAGAGAGTATGTCTGAGCAACTTGTTTTCAACCCTGAGCTACTTGGTGAGTTGAAAGAACCAATAAAGAGTAGCACGAGTCCAACTACACTGTGTCTCTCTTGAGCACATTTGGAAAAAGTGCAAGGTGTTAAAATACTTCTTTCCAAAACATCATTACAGCAATAAAGCCACATCAGCCTAACACACACACACAGAATTAGGGAAAGAAAAGCCTACATAGAATGTTTAGTACATCTCAGTTTCTTTCTGTTGTGGTATTCACTTGCATGGCAAAGCCCTTCCGTTCCATATACCATAATCATCCAGAGGAAGCGAGTTTGAAATGTCCAAAACTATGGGTACAGAGAAGTAGTACAGTTTAATACACCATGTAAGATGAAAAGCCCCCACACCTTTAACAATTTTAAAGAGCTGATTAACTACTATTGGCCAAATTCTGAATGTCACAACCCACTAAAATCTAGCAGTTTGTTCTGTGGTTGGTGCAAAATCCAAGATAAAATCCAATTTTTCATATTCTTTTTTTAAACACACAGCTAAACCAAGTTATTTGTACACAAGGTTTGATGTCTTATCAGAAGAGCTTCCAGTGTTTTGTACCTTGACACTCAAAAAGACAAGGAAAACAGGCTAAGAGCTACTTGCTCCCTTCCTAAGTTGTTTCAAAGAAACCCAGGCACTGGGACCCCAGGTGTTCTGAAGAGCAGGCACATTAATGGACAGCAATTATACTGAGAAGGTAACTTGTATGTATTTTTTCTCCCAGACAAAGCCTACCTGTTTACTTTTTGTGGCCTTTCCAGCAGGATTCTTCCTTCCTTTAGCACCCTCCATGTTTCTTAAAACACTGATGAAATCTTTCTTTGACACAGATGACAGTAGTTTAGCACGCTGCCTGTCAGAGCTCCCAGCTTTCTTCACCTTCTCATCAACATTCTTTTGGTGTGTCCTGACAGCATTAAATAATTGTACAACACCTCTAGGATGGGGAAAAACAACAACAAAACAGAGTTTTTAACTCAAGTTCCCTTTACAGAAATTAACCCTCTACCAAAGCAACTAATCAGGGCAGATGCTGGATGGCTTCTAACTCCCCAAAATGGTTACTCTGAACCTCATTTCAGTTAAGAAGTAACATTTATTACAAAGTAGCAGGCTTTAAATTTTTCACTTTTCCTTCACACTTATTGCTAGGATCCAGAAATTAACAAATCCACCAGTAACTATTCAGATCCCAACCTAAGCAAAGTAACATGGCACTGAGACCAGTGCAAGAGCATGTTTTGTCCCCAGAAGCACGTTACTCATCTACAATCAGCCATTAAATTCCTCAGGCAAGATCTTAAGAGCAGCTAAAGCAGGGGGACAAGGCAGAGGAATGAGTAAGGAGACAGATACAGACAGCACATCAAGGTGCGTCGCAGGACTAGGTGAACCAAACTACTGCAACACAGAACAGGCAACTGAACTTAAACTGGTGAATCCTCCGCAGAGAAGGAAAAAACGGAGTAGTAGAAACAAATGTTCTGCATTTTTAAAGCATTAAATGAACAAAATGAGGGGATCCAACAAAGCACTTCTGTTAACCAAACATTACATTCCCATCTAAATTTTTACTCTTTCATAAAGCTTCTGAAATCTTTTGTTGAACTTGTTACTGTACAATGCAGACCTGTATATAAATCTCTCTGCTCCTGCTAGTCACCTCTTAAGAGTTCAATCTGATTAGAAACAGATTACCTGCACAGGCCAATTCTTCCCCTTTTCTTCCTTTTTTTCAATATACTTATATTGAAGGAAAGCATTCAGAAAAACTCTTACCTCGTGGCAATTCTCTGAAGATTTCTTTCTCTGTCTCGGTCTTTGACAACATCTGGCTTCACTCGGCACATCATTTCCCACTCCCGCTTTTTATCAAGCTGCATTATAAATATTGTTATGTGAAACAACATGGAGCATTGGAGAATGCAGCATAGTCTGATAGAGTATGTAGCAAGAGTCAAAAAAAAAGATAAATCAACAAAACTCAGTTTGGTTTGAGGCTAAGGGGAGTTCCAGTATAGGTCTGGACAACAGGTCTGAGGCAAGTCTCTTGCATTGACACACCAGGGGCCACAGTCAAATCTCAAAGAGTCACTTGCCTTCAGTAACAAAAACTAGAAAAGTTGCACCAGTGTGATGCCTCTGGCTCAAGACAAGCAAAAGGAGTCTAGAAAAATGCAAATGCTTTCACACTGACTGCTACAAACAAGGAAATTATTCAAAGACATCTTTCAACTCCAAGACTCACAAGTTGATCACAGAGAAATTTACACATAACAAAATCCTGGGTCTATCAAGACAGGTATGTCGCATTTTGAGCCTTGGGAATTTGACTTCCCCAGCTGAATTAATTGTGGTACAGCTTTGTGACAGACAGTGACACATGGCAGTCTGTAAGAGGCAGAACTCAAACACCAGGAAGAGCACCAAGCGCCCACTGGAGAACAATTCCTGTGCACAACACTGATTTTTTCCTTTTTTTTTTTTTTTGAGGCGCTCTCTTTCAAAAGCAAACTGATACATTTTCCCTTTACCAAGGGCCACACCACCAGCAGCTTCTTTTCTGCTACAATAGGAGAATACTGTATTTCCCCAGCCTCTGCTTCAAAGAGTAAGGTAGTGAAATATTTTTTTCCCCTTTTAACAATTTAACAGTGTTCTAGGTGCGGTGATGTTGCATTAAGTCTGTTTTACGCAAGAAGTCTTTCACGGAATTTCAGAGTCCTTATCTTTGTAATTCCAGGCAGACTACCATGAATTTGTGAGTTTATGACCACGTTTTGGCCTTTTATCAAAAGAACTGTCCTATTCTAGCCTTCACCAGCAAGAAATTAATAGAAGGCAGATTGTTCTCACATTTTTCCAAAGGTAAACAAGACAGTTTGGGGACCTGCAGCCCAACTCTGCTTTGCAGTACTCCCACATATTTACTGGATGAGAACAGGTATTTGGGACAATCATAACTGAGCAGATGCTGTACTGAAGCTCTGTATTTAAAAGGCAGGCCGTGGCCTAACAACAGCATGTCCCAGACTGTCAGGTGGATAACCTGGTTATCCTATTGAAACAGAACTGGTAAGATGAGACATTAGAACTATTAATGTATTTTTAGCCTGAGGGTAAATTAATCACAGCCTGGAACTAAAAGTTCCACTAAAGACACACAAACAAATGACTTAACTGCCAACATAGTTTTGTTCTCTTCATAACAGTTTCAGAACCAAAAGCAATTTAAGGTACAGACACTGTAACAAAAAACTCCTACCAGGAAAATCATTGAGGGGAGCAAACAACAATTCACAACCACATCAATGATTACTACAATCTCAACCTAGAGACCTTTGATTTTGGAAGTCACAGCAGAACTTAAATGAAAGCAGTTTTCTCCTTCTCCCTCTCACTTTCAATGAGAGAGAACTATTTCAACTTGTAATGCCGACAAAATGAATTATACCCCAAATTAACAAGAGCAATTAGAAAAGCAGCTGCTTTCACCCTCTCAACACCAAAACATCTTAAGCTGACAGACTGGAACAGTCCTGCTGCCAAAGATCAGCCTGCCTGATGGCCCAGAAAAAGCAGTGAAGGAAAAAGCCCTCCAGCATGACTGTCTGGAAAGTAAAAAAACTGAAGCTACTTCACATCATGGTGGAGGAGAGATTCTGAAACAGAAGACAGTCTCAGAGCACTCTCCCAAATCCACCCTGACGGGATCTTGCATGTACCACATCTGGCTGACTGTACAACAAGATACAGCATCTTTTTCTCACCTTCATTCTCTTCTCCAGCCTTTCTTGTTTTTCCTTTTCTCTCTCCTCCTCCAGTTTTTTATTCTTGGCCAAGATGGTGGACTTATTTTGCGGAATCTTTTTGTTGAGCACTTTTGCCATGGCATCTGCCCAGCCTGCACCTGGGCCAGCTTTGGAGCTTGTTGCCTTTTCAACCACATCACCAAGGGCTGCTGTTTCATCTTCATCATCACCATCCAGGGCTTCACCTCCTGAAGAGTAGCTATCTTCTGGAAGTCCTGAGCTTAACTCAGAATCTAGGGGTAAAAAAAAAAGGAACAAAAAAAGTATCAGGAGTTCTGTTTCTATTAAGGATCCATCACTAGCTTAACTTGCTCCATTTGTAAATGTTATCAGAGTTCAGGGCCATATACTACTTGCTGTTACAATTAATTCCTCAAGCAGGCATACACCACCATAATGAATTTATTAGAAAGTATCCAGTGCAAATGCTTGCTCATCTCAGTGATGATTTAAAGTGATTTAAGAGGTTGGGTAAAAGGCAGCCTTGAAAATTTATTATTAGATTAATGAATATTTTGATGTTTAGGAGTGGCAAGTTTTGGGAAAAAAAACTATATTTTCCAGTTCAAAAACTATAATTTATAAATGCATATACACACACACATACGTATGCATTTATGTATGCATGTACATACTTATACACAAACTGCAACAGTGACATCTAGTGTTTAAATGCAAACAGCCACATGAATTAAATTGAAGGTAGGGCAGCATTTCTTACATGAAAGCAGAATCTGCTCAAGAAAAATAATGCCAACAAAAATACAATTACCTAAGCATAATGAACACAGAGGGGAGACTGCTTTGTGAAATAAAGAATCAAGACAGTTGCTGGGTAGTTCAAAAGAAAACAGAAGCACTGAGCTTTTCTGGTATAAGTAACTGCTCAAGGTTTTGAGACAAATAAAACACCCCCAATTTCAAGTTTCCTTACCCTATCCACCTTCAAAACAAAAAAGAAGGAATTAAAGTTAAAATACTGAAGTTTGGAATCAAGCAACAGCAAGACAGGACAGAACAGCCAACTAGACAGCAAATCAATCACATGAAGAATACACCACTTCCCTCACTAGTCTGTTCAGTGGGTCAAATAGCACAAATAAAGTCTTTAACAGTGCAGATGACTAGAATGAAACAGGCTGCAAGTTTAGGGTCTGCTAAAATATGTTTGGTTATTTCAGTGGACCCACTTTATCACGTAATCAAGAGCAGAGCATAAAAGTGTCCTGCCACTATTAACTACCATTCCACTAATACTTATGCCACTCAAAAGTTTTAAATTAATTATGTTGTATACAACTTTCAAGGCTGCAAATCAAGCGCTCAACAGAAGGAGGCTGGTCTCTGACACTGCAAGTCCAACCAGCAAGGGGACAATTCCCCACCAACTCTGAGATACCAGCTGACTGGCTTTCATCCATCTACTACCCTCACACTACTTTAAAAAGAGTATTTTAAAATCACAACGTTAAGTACTACTGAGCCAAGTGCTTTACTTTGTAAGCATTACTATATCCCATGAACTACCTTTATCAAGCAAATTATTAAGAGAATGAAGTCAGGACTGCTTCAGCAGATCGACTTTCCGTAAAACCATGCAGACAGCTGTTAATGATCTTCCTTATTAATCAACTGCCTATTTAATTACTTAACAAACATAAATATACACTGTGTTGCCAGACTAACCCTTTACTGTGCCTTCTCCACATGCCTTTTTGAACCAGCAAAAAAACCAATGTAGCAGCAAAACAGTGGTGTTAACCAATTTTAAACTAAGCCTCTAATGCCCAGGCATATTTAAAGACTGAGAGCATTTAGTTATCATCATGGAAAGAAGCAAGATTGTATGTTTACATCACAAATGTGGAAGCGAAATACTGAATACTTGCTCATTATCTGTATCAGTATGATTTTTACTACCACGAAGGTGAACAGTGTTGTGTCACACTCCACACAGGATAAGTTACAGGTGTTTTTTCAACAGTCCTTACTAAAATTGGTGATTTACAAGCGGCAAATTTGTTCAATGCATTCAGAAACTACTAAAGGCATCCTTTTTATGATATCAGTATGTCTCCATATCCTGATTTCCAAATTTAAAAAAAAAAAATCAAACCATTGCATGTAAAGAAGTGCATCACCACATCCTGGTTCCTACATGTAAAACAATTTGTCAAGTTTTCACCCCTAAGCCTTGTCCATGATAGAATATTGCTATCTAGTTTTTAAACAAGGAATTAACCCCTACTTGCAACTTTTTCATACATACAAAAGCTAACAGCTACAAAAGTCCAAACGTGAATTCCACACACTGCTTAGGACCAACTTCCACAGTTAGCTATAAAAACCAGATCAGACTTATAAAAAAGAAAGTGCAAAACCATGTATTAATCTCCTTTACTTGATATTTCCTGGCAATAAAATAGGAGGATAATGCCGGATAATACCAACAACATTTTGCTTTCAACAATTACAGAAAGATGAACAGGGCTTCAACAACCAGCCATGACTTATTCTTTAATACATCTGAGGATCTGTCAACGGCATGACATAAAGCAGAGGTATTTCAAAGTAAACTAGATAACTCTATCAGAAATAGGAGCTGGGGCTCTATTCTGAATCGCAAAGATTGAAGCCTGGCATAGATTTAATGTAAAAAGTCCCAATTGGGGGGGGGAATAAATATACACATATATCGCCATACTTTATTCTTCTAAACTTGCCTGGTGATCTAGGTGTAGACGGATACAGTTAAAACCAGCAATCGTTCAGAAATGAGCTCTGAAAGAAGCTCTCACACAAGGCCTCCCCTTGAGTTCAGTTTTGACCCTCAAACCAAACAGAACCACTGAGAACTACGGCTCCAATGGCCACAACCTTGATTCCTGCCAGAATAAAGAGTAAAAAAAAAAAAAAAAAAAAAAAAAAAATAAATAAATCCAGTTATATAATTAAGAAGCGATCACAACTAGTTCGGTATACCCTCACAACACACGAAGAAGCAAAAACGAGTGGAGAACCACGTAGAAAGGATGGAGTATGAGTACGTTTATGCTGTGTTTATACTCCGTGCTCTCCTGGTAGGCTACTGTAATTGGCGCATCTCAGGGGTTTCCTCCGGAGCACGAAGCCGATCCTCGTCTCGTACAGACAGACGCAGGCAGACACACAGCCGGGAAACCCACCCCGAGGGAGCCCCGCGGGCACCCCGCGCCCCGCTGCCTCCGCCCCACCGGCAAGCGGCTTCGGCAGGCGGCTGGGCCGGGGCCGTAGCTCCCGCCGTCCCCGACAACCGGCTCCAGCCCTCGGGCCAGCCTCCCGAGGGGGGGGAGAACGGGCTCAGGCCCGCCGGCGGGCTCGGACGGGGCAGAGAGGAGCGGCCGCTCCGGCCCACGGCGGGGGCCGGGGAGGCCTTAGCAGCCCGTCCGAGCAGAGAGGGACCCAAACCCCTTCCCGCTCCCGTTGGGGAAGCGGCGCCCGTTACCGCTGTCCGCCTCCTCGCCCACCGCAGCGCCGCATCCACGTGGGCCCGCCACGGCAGCCGCCATCTTCCCCACGGTCCGCCCAGTATCGTCTCCCGGCCCGGCCCCCGCGCCGCGAATCTGCGTTCCGTCTCCAAAGGTTCCGGGCAGGCTAGCGGAGCCGGCGGCTTCCGGGGCGGGCCGCGGGCCTGGCGAGGCGCGTAGGCACCTCGGCAAACGTGAGGGGGCGGGAGGTCTGCCTGGGCTTCTCCTCTCCCTCAGGCCCGGGGAGGTCCGTGGGTCTCGGGCACTGGGCTGCTGCTCTTCCCGGGAGTGGGCAAAGCCCTGCGAGACCCTGCGGGCCTCTCCTCGTCGCCATTTTGGGGTCACCGCCAACCCCGGCACTGATGCCTGGCCTTGCGTTTATGTGCACTGAGAAAGGTCATGTCGGCCAAAGCGTGGAGAGCACCCCCCGCAAAAGCTCAAACCCAGCAAAGCCCGGGCTGGTTATTCTCTGCTGGTTGCTCTCTTCCACCTTTGGGAGCCGCAGTGAACATGGCAATGATAAAAATAAATTGACGTCATGTTTGCTGTAGATTGCAGAGCGGGAAGAAGAATTTTGAAGTCCTGCCTTCACAGTGCTGGCGGCCCTAAGAAAACGTAGGTCAAGGCCCAAAAGGAGGACAATTTTTAACACGGGGAAGAATGAAAGTCTGTAATTATCTTCTGTTGGCATTTCTTTCAGCTAGATTTAAAAAATCGAAACAAAACAAACCACCCCAAACATTTATTAAACCCTCTTGAAGATACACCATTTGCACACTGATGCTTCCACATGCTCTTTTGAATATGGTTTTTCTACACTAGAGATGTTCTCTGAGGCTACTCATGGGAGGGTGCTCTCAATCTTTAAAGTAACTGCACTAGCTGATATCTGTGGGGTCAATGGGCTCAAACCCCCTCAGACACCAAAGGGCACATGGGCCCCAGATAGGTGGGTGAGTCCTGGACCCTCTGTAAATAATTCTGCTTTTGTTCTGCATATCCGAAAGGACACGGTCCACCACAAGTCTCCTCTGAGGTGTTATCCTTCACATGACAGTTACTGTATTCACCCAAACTACATTGATCTAATGCTTAGCATGAGTAGTTTAAGTCCTAAATCACTGGCTATGCTTTACATTCTTTTACAAATTTTTCAGATTAAGAGTTTAGTATGCTAGAAATTTTTGCAAACTCCTGTTTCGTTGATGTACTGAAATCCCTTTCTTTTAATGGTAGTATTTGTTTTTAGCACTGGGTGTTCAGAAGAGCAGGCTGTCCACCATGTGTAGATAAAAAAAAAAAAGTCTCTTACCTTAAGTTAGAGAATTTCTGTCACTTCACAACCAGTAAATGGACACAGAGATTTTAAGGCCAGACTGTAGCACTACCAGTTATCCAAATACTCAATTTGATGCATCTCTAAGAAGTACGTCTTGAAAAAAGCACCAGCTAGAACACCAAAACTGTAAGAAAAGCAAATCTTCTTAGGCAACTTCTTACTTAAAAGCACTCTAAACTAAACAAATAAAAGTTGGTTATCAAGAACTGTTGTTATTGTAACAATTAAATATGCTGGTAGGCAGAAGCTGTAGGGTTCCTTGGAGCCCTAAAGGTGCAGTACAAATAACCTTGGACGTTGAAAAGTATGTCTGTAGATAGGAATATAGCCAGTAATGTATCCTAGAATATTTGCCCAAAACACTTGCTGTCTTAGGTCATAATCATTAAGCATGATCATATGGACAAAATACCACACTCCTCTGCACCTTCACTGACACCTTAGAGAGCCTGTATACATAAATGTGTATTAAAATAAGGAATCATGGCTCATATTGTGAATGAGGTACAAGGCAATGCTATACTTAGATATAAGATGACTTTGTTGTTTCTTAAAGCTCAATTATTGTATGATGGTGCCTTAGAAAAAAATTACTACAGGAGAAAAATGTTACATGTAGAGTATTCTTCAGTATTTTGCAGGTTTTAAAATCTTTGAAATGCTATTTAATTTCTACAGCTTGTATTTTTGTAAATAAATATTTCATTTGTTGTCACTACCCTGTACAGTCAGTAAACCGTGTCTTTGTACTTCTGTCATTCCGTGTTTTTTTCCTAATGATGTGGGTGGCAGCCAAGATAGCAAATTCCTTTTGTTACCTCAGTATCAGGTGGAAAAATTAGAAGTTGGAGAGAGATCAGAAAAGAGTGACAGAAATTATTACAAGGCCGGGGAAGCTGTTTCACAAGGAAAGATTATAAAGGCTAAACATGTATGTCTTGGTTAAGTGCTGGCTAAGGACAAATAGTTTTGGACTTACTGTTTCTATCATAAGCTGTCCTGCAGAGCAGAGCTATGTGGAAAGAATTTCAGTCCAATTCATTGTTACAAGAAAAGAGAAACCCTGTGCTGAAAAATTTGGGCCTCTGCTATGACCTGCAGAGTAAGAAGGAAACCATAAACATCCTCCTGGGTGTTTAATGAAGAGGCCCAAGCTTTACAGGAGACATAATTCCTAATGTTTTACACTGTAGGATTCAAATCCTAGGGTGTCTGCCAATAACAAGCACTAACCATTTGGTCAAGTCTGCTATGCAATGATAAAGACACTTAACATTTGCTTGGCATGATTCATCTCTGAATCACGTTGCATCAGAAGAGACACTGGTAGGAGAAGGTTATTAAACTGCATAGACAAAGAGCTCTTCCAGTATGGCAATTATAGTGCTCATTTCCTAGTACACACACCTTATTGAACATGTCTTACTCTTGGTAGCATATTTGTCTTGGAATTATGTCAAAATCTTCAGATTAAGTCCTGTAATGGGTTCCAATAAATGACGGGTCTGAACCTTCTTCCCTCAGACTGAATTAACAAGTCACCTCTCTGATTGCATACTTCTCTCCAGAAGCATTATACCGAAGCATTTGTCAGCGAATTTGTTGCCAAACCTCATTTCAAATGACTGTCATTGTCTTCCATCACTCTGTCCTGAATGTTTTTCTGTATTGAAATTGTGGTCTGAGGAATTCTGGAGATAAAACCACCCTACAAAATCTTTCCAGTCCAGACAAAGCAGCAGCTACCTCCCAGTTTATCATTGTCAGAAGCGTATGAAGAGCAGCAGAGGCACAAGCTGGCATTCTGCATGTACAGGTCCATAGTAAAACCGTGGCTGATGAGACAGTGCATGAAACTTTGATATGTGGATGCAGCAGAGTCAAGGTCTGAAAAAAAAGCTGTAAAAAGGACGGCACGTGGATTTGCAATCCTAACATTTTTTTTCTAAGATTTTAAATGTGTTAAATTTGGGGGGGCTTAAAGTTTAAATATCAACAATACTGGGATACAGCCCAGTTGAAGTGGTTACTGTATATTCCTCATTACATAAATAGCAGCAGAAAAATGAAGCCAAAACGTCCCTTTGGTTTCTCTTTGGAGTGGTAGAGCTCCTTTCTGTCCTGGTCTGTTCTAGAGTAACGAACACATAGATCCCAGCAACGTGCTAAGCCAAGTGACTGACTTCTGCCATATGCCTGTTGTCAGTTTGTCGCTAGGAAGGAACTTTGCAAGATGCATTTCAACACAAATGTACTGACACACGTCCAAATGTGCAGTGGGTTTATGTAAAAGAAAACAAGGTCAGAGAAACATACCTTGTGCTTAAACAAGGTAGTAAAGTTTTGTATGATCCTTAGTCCTTGTGGGAAGGTGCTCCACAGACTTGTCTCACTCTGTGCAAAGGTACTCTTGCCTATGCAGACAGAATTACCCTTACTCTAAAAAGTTCAGTCATGCTGTAGTTACCGGCTGTGATCTTCATCCCAGAGTATAGCCTGTCGTGTACCCGGGCACAGGCCACTGACAGCCTTAAAGGTAGGAGTCCAGGTTTGACTTAATTGGATAGGTGTGGAAGTAAATGCAGAGGCCTGCTGCCTCCAGTGGCCTTTGGATCAAGTTCTTCATGCTGAAATGTCAATAGAATAGAAATGAAAAAATAATGTAATTGTGATAATTTCTAATATAACCCATTGTTCTGTGCTAGAAATTGTTATTGGCATCCCTGAGAACTGAGCACTGTAGCATCCTTCATACATTTCTGTGGCATTATCCTGAGCTTCCCAAGTATTGAGCCCTTATCCCAACGGAACAGCTCAGTGTTTCTGATCTGTCTGGCTGTGTTTTCTTTTCCAGCTTTCTCCTATGGCTGCTACTGCTCTCTTCCTCTTCACTTTGTGAACAAATTGCCTTGACTTACACATATCCCCTGAACAATTGCCCTTTCAGTTCCAATGAAGGCTGAATCCCAAGCCAGTATACTAAAGTTCAAAATCTTTGCCACTTTTGCAGGTCATATTCACAGCCTGATTCCTGCACTAAGAGAGATCAATAACACCAGACAGAAGATGAGCATGATAAAGCTCTCCAGTGCCCCAAGATTTAAATATGTTTATTCTCATTTCCATTTCTTTGGTTTAGCTGATGCCATGTTTTCCCCGCAACTCTGCAGGGTATTTGCAGATGAAGAAAGAAGGGCAGTTCATGAGTAAATCACAGAATACTGCACTGTCATATAATAACTACTGCTCTAATCTCATATTCAATAAAACTCATATAAACTGACATTTAATAAATCATAATAAAATACTACCTGGTCCTCTGCAAATGTTTTGCCTCATGAAAGTTGTAGTCCAGCTCCCAGCAGGGTCAGCTAGAAACTTCCTATTTCTTTCTGTCAGTATTCATTTGGCCCCTGAGCCTCACAACCACCAGTGAAGTAAATCTTAATGGGTTTAAGAGGGAGACACAGAGGGGTAAATACAACATTTTCAAACATTTATGCCTATATTTGTGAACTTAAATGCATGGGTTTAGCCTTAGCTGAATACTTGTGCAACTGTTAGCTACCTAAGCAATGAAAACCATAGAAAAGCCAAGAAGAACAACTTTCATGTACATAAGAAAAAGGGGGATGATTCTAAGGTTCCAAGTCATGGACTGAAAAATTTTGCTAAAAAGAAATTGTGAAATCATGCCCATTGTATGCA